AGAGAGAGAGAGAGAGAGAGAGAGAGAGAGAGAGAGAGAGAGAGAGAGACTATTCAGAGAGTAGCCTGTGAGAAGTGAGGACAATCCAGGATAAAGCAATGAGCAGTGTCTAACAAGTGTTGGCTGGCATGCTGAGCCGGCCAGACAGCTCAGCAGACTAAAGCGCCTGCTTAGGCAGAGCGCAGTGGCTGGGGTTCTATCCTTAGGCTGCCATGCTGGCCCTGTCCTCAGGACATGCTGAAGTGGCAACTGAGATTGGGCGTGGTGGTGCACACCTCTAATCGCAGCACTTGGGAGGCAGGAAACAGGAGAATCACTACGAGTCTGATCTGTCTGAACTGAGACTCTGCAGACCCTGTGCTAAATACACTTAATAAAAGTGTTGGTGCGGACCCCATTAGTCCCATTCGATGTCCTTAAGAACTATAAGGAAAGGTTGAGCAGCTCAACTGGACTCTTTTGGGTTTTCTTTTTTTAAGGTAACATATTACCAAGCCTGGGCCATGTGAGTGCCCAGCTTCTACCTGGATTGCATGAGAAGAGGATTTTTCCAGAGTTCACTCTGTTTCTATGATTTTTTAGAATGCTAGAGCCTCTGGGCTCTACAGCCCAAGTGGATGGCATGGCAAAACAGCCCACTATGGTTGAGGGACCAGCAGACAAGAGAAGCCATTTCTGTTTATAGGAGTAAGAAGAAAAAACCATGGTGATACCAGGCATTTCTGTGGGTCAATGAGACTTTTGTGCCATTGGGATGAGGCAGGGGACATTGGCTCTACGGCTAGGCTTTCATGCTGCTTCTGGTTCTTGAGTTGTTAGAATACATTTCCCTTTGTCTGGGAGTTTCAGCACTGATGTGGTCTTTTGTCTTCCATTTTCTTTTTGTTTGTCTTTGTAGCTTGCCTGGAGGCTCAAAGGCTAAGAGTCTTGCCCGACTTCACATACAGGATGACCATCTTGCAGTTGGCTAAAGAACCAAAAATGTTCTAGGCCTTCTTTGTCTGTACTCAATGGTGACTAGCTGGTCTACGGAATTCCTAGGATCCGAGTCCCTCCCTCCACCAAGGGAGGTGCAGCCACTGCCGTTACAGTGTAGTCGAGATGGGCACTTACTGGGTGAGTGGTTCACCCTCTTCACCTTCTGACAGACCAAAGTTGCGTTCTTCAGAAACCAGGAGTAGTATTCCAGACAGTACCTAAAGATTTAAGTCAGAGTTGGAAGCAGTCACCGTCTTGTGTATCTACTAGGAGACGGAATTTAAAAAGTATTACATTAACATGAAGTTATGGCCAATTATCCACAGCAAAGACCCTCTGTTCACTTTTTTTCACTTTAAAGAGGAAAATAAGCAAAGATGGCAATAAAACAGAGTTTCAAAACAGGCTAGTAGGACGGTACCAATAATTGGCATATTGTGTATTGCTATCTTCATAGTAGTCATTCAGAGTAAAAGGTATAGGCATGAAATGTTGTCCAAACAATGCTAGCACAGACCTTTCTTTTCAATGAACTAAAAGAAACTAGCCATATTTCTATCTTAACTAATATATATATATATATATATATATATATATACATATATACATATATATTTATATAAATAAAATAAAATGAAAGAATATCTATCTATCTATCTATGTATCTATCTATGTATCTATCTATGTATCTATCTATCTATCTATCTATCTATCTATCTATCTATCTATCTATCCAATCTGCCCCAAAGCCTCATGAAATCATGGGGCAGAGTTCTAAAGTTTGTGATTAACTCATGATCCACTGGGATTATGAGTGTGAGTGCTGCTGAGATTTTGGGTGTGACTACTGCTGAGATTATGGGTCGAGCACTGCTGGGATTATGGGTATGAGTGCTACCCACAGCCTGGAGCACATAGCTTGAGTGCAACTTAAGGGAGCCAGACTTGCTCTCTGTTGCCACTGTTGCTGTTACTCCTCCCTTTGGTTCTTGTTGTTTTGCCGCCTTCTGCAGCGATGAACTGCTGCTCTCTGCCCTGTGCCACTCTGCCTTGGAGCCAGCTGAGGATGGACTGAAACCTTCAGTAACTGTGAGCTACATAAACCTTTCCTTCCTTCATTTTGGGTGTCAGGTATTTGTCCCAGCAAGGAGAGAAAAGCAACTATATATATATTCCTTTCCTTTGTTTTCCTTTTTGCCTATCACAGTTTCATTCTTTTTCTTTCTGTTTTGTTTTTTGTACCAGGGATCGAACTCTGGATCTTCTGCTTGCCAGGCAGGCACTTAAGCCACTGAGCTATCTTCCTAGCCCTCACTCTTTCTTTTAAGAGAAGAAGGACGAGGAGGAGGAGCGAGGGAGGAGGAGGAGGAGGAAGAGGAAGAAGAGGAAGAAGAGGAAGAAGAGGAAGAAGAAGAAGAAGAAGAAGAAGAAGAAGAAGAAGAAGAAGAAGAAGAAGAAGAAGAAGAAAGAAGAAAGAAGAAAGAAGGAGAGGAGGAGGAGAAGAAGAAGAAGGATGAAACAGAGTTTCACATCAAGCTAATAGGAGAGTGATAATAATTAGTACATTGCTCATTATTATCTTTGTAGCATATACTCAGATGTAAAGATGTGGATTTTTTTTTCTACATAGTTGAATACTTCTCCATTATAAAGAAGGATACACTGGAGACTTTTCTAGGGAAATGAATGCAACAGGGGGCCATACTCTTGGGTTGGACAAATCAGGCCCATACGTGTAAACATTATATTATCTTTCTAATGTGAGAGACTAAACCAATAAATAAGCTCCAAAATGTATAACAGATATTGTGCATTGGGAAGGAACTGTTTAAAAGAAAAGAAAAACTAAAGTGAGAAAAGGGAAAGGCAGAGAAAAGAAGAAAATATGTAAACAAGACAGTTACACAGCTAACTTCTCTTAGTTCATTGAAAAGAAAAATTTGTGATAATATTGTCTAAATATTATTAATTCATCCCTCTGTTCATCTTTGTAGGATGTGAGTGGGAAGGTAAGGAAGGAGGCTGGATGGAAAGAGCTCCAACTCTGGGGTCAGAAGATGTGATTTCAGCCCTAGCTCTACTGTTTGCTAAGATATGTGACTTTTGACTGAGTACTTAATCTCTGGGCCTTACTTTCTTCATGCAGAAATGAAAGGCAATAACAAAACCAATGCTCACAGATTGTTTAAAGATTAAATAACATAAAATATGTTAGTTCTTCTTTTTTTGGGGGGGGTACTGGGGATTGAACTCAGACCCTTGTGCGTGCTAGGGAAGCACTTATTCCACTGAGCCATCTCCCCAGCCTATTAGTTCTTGAATAGTACCCAGCATGCACTGGGGCAGGTACTTAATAAATGATAGTGATTGCTTTTGTGGGAACTGGAGCATTGTCTTGCTTCTGGTCAAGGGCAGTAGGAGTTGCTTTGCAGGGCTATGGTGGAGAGGTCTCTGATGCAGTACTAAGAAGAAAGCTTCTGTGCAGACCATGTTGCTAGCTCACTGTGTGACTGGGAATCTGCATTCCTTTTGACTTCTTTCAGCTTGAGTAGACCACACTTAGCAAGCTTTAATTTCTCTGCTATCTCTCTCATTCTGTGATTTTTAACATGTTCTAGGTGGACATACAGCTGACTGCCAAGGTCTCCCAGGGCTGTTGTCCCCTGTTTACAAGAAATTGTAGAACTGAGGAGACTGAGGCACAAAGATTAATGGACTTATCCAAGGATGTGCTGCTTTCAAGTGCTGGTGCAAGAGAGAGGACGTGTATGATTAACACAACCAGGGCTCCTTTTCACGTGAGTCAGGACCCATGTACTCATTACAGGAAGTCAGTCATAAAAGGTCCAGCTGAGCTGACAGAACAAAGGGAGGGAAAGGAAACCCAATGTCAGCATCTATGCAGAGAGAAGGGGAATCTTGGGGCTGAGCACAGATGCAAACTGTATCTGGTGGTAGACGGAACCACAGAGGAGAAAGCCTTTCCTGGAAACACTACCCAAGTGCTGTCCAGTATTGCTCTTTACTGTGTTCTAGCATCCTTCTATTGCATCAATTAACAGGAAGTTGGTTGCTATGCATTCTGCATAATGCAGTTTCCAGGAATCAGCTGCTATAGTATAGAGTAGAAAGGGTAGCACAGGGGCTGCGTCTGAGAGAAGTGTATGATGAACACAACCAGAGCTTCTTGTCATGTGAGTCAAAACCCACATGCTCAAGATGACATTTCAAAAGGAGAAGAGATATCAGGCAGAAGCCGGTCAACTCAACAGCAGACATGGCCACTAGCTCATAGTTGCCACAGCTGCATACCAAGCATGCTGGAGTTGAGACTCATAACTGGCCATGGGAATGGAAGAGAGCAATGTATGCCAGCAACCACCCTAGAACCTTCACTGGCAACTCCCAAGTGCAGATCTTCCATGTACTAGATGTGCTGGGACAACTAGATAGGTTGTTCCATTCCATTTTATTGTCATACCACTGTCAGGCTAGGCAAGGATGTTGGTACCCTTCTCCATGAAGGGCACTTCTGAAGTTATACAGCATCTCTCCTGGGATGCAGGCAGGATTTGACCCACTTTTCAGATAAACTGAGCTACAGAGAGAATAAATGAGTGGCCCAAGATAACCCAGCTTCTAAGTGGTAGAACCTAATAAAACCTAGACTCTTCAATCTGGCATATGAAGCCACCTTCTAACTTTGGAGACCTTAGTTGTGTGGTCTCATCTCCTTTCTCCTCAGCTAGTTGGACAATGAGCAGGCTGTGTTTTCTAACACCACCAAAATCTTTCAGAAAGTTTCCAACACACTGAGGATATCAGAATACCCTGGGGAACGTTGTGCCTGAGACAGTGATGCTGTAAGTGGGCACACACTGTGCCAGCTGAGATCTCTGTGAATCTTCATGCTGTGAGCTCAGGACACACCTTGCAACAACCCTGCAAATGTGGCCCACTCTGGCACAAGCCACAAAGCCGCTGTTTGGGGCCTTGAGTAACTTCAGCAGCGTATATAGTTTGCAGGAAGACACAGATGCTGGACTTACTGAAGGATCTCATGAGCAGAGTTTGAAAATCACATTAAATGTCTGAGAATTGGCCTCCAGAGGACAGGAATAGGAATCTTTGTCATTTGGACCTGAGTTTCTAGCCAAGAATAAATCCCAGAAGTGTATCACTATTGAAAGACAGGAAAGTGTCCATGTTTAGAACTTTTCAAAACGTCTTTCTTGTAATTTTATTTCTAAAAGTATCTCATTTAACTGCCTGGTGACTGCTAGGGATTTATGAGAGCTGTAATTTAAATATACATGTGCTTTGGCCAGTCTGCCATAGACGATATCACCAGGCTAAGGTCACTGGGATTCAAGAACCATTTGGAGTCCTGGTTAGTAATTCTACTTGCTACAATGCAGTTTGTCTGAACTCCACTCAGTTCAACCCATTTCACCACAACCCAACTGAACACAATTAGTTCATCTCAACTTAGTTGAACTCAACTCTACCCAGATCAACATAATTCAAATCAGTTCATCTCCAGTCTACTCAGCTCAACTCATTTCAGCTCAAATGAACTTAATGGATCAGGCCTTAAACTTGGTTCTGGGAGCTGAAAAAAGAATAAGGTCTCATTGTAGTTGTCAAGGAAGTGACAGTCTAGAGTAGGACTCACTGGGGAGTCTACCACTTGAGGTAGCCTCTGTCACCTGTTTGTGAATAATTTGATTCCTGGCTACCCGGTAGCCTACAGGGAAGCCTCATAGAATAAGAAGCCTATAAGGGTCAGATGTGAAAAGAAACAACTGTCCCAGGTTACCTTATAGTCTCTGTTGTAGGGTTCCTCCCCTGACTCCCACAAAGGCATTGCTGGAAAAAGCGACACAGCTCCATCAGGCATGGGGTGAACTTCTGGATAGCCAGGGTGATGGGAGGTGCTGTCATGGTCCCCTCTTTGAGGAGCGACTGCGGACACCCTAGAAGATACGAACTCAAAGAAGTCAATTCAAGGAGATTTATGCAGGCATCTTCCCTTGGTGAAGGCCTGTGCCAGGTCAAGATAGCCTTGCCTGTCCTCAGGTGGCCCTGAGACAGGTAATAAATAACACTGCTATTTTGAGTTGCAGGAGACAGGTAGAGCATAGGTAGGGAACAGCTTCCTAGAGGAAATCAGAGGTGGTTTCCCAAGGAGCATATTTTATTATTATTTATTTATTTATTTATTTTTGTATGGTTTTATTTTTATTTATGTATTTTTTGTTTTTATTATTTTTCCCCATAATTTTATTGATAAACAAATAGTAATGAGACAGTTTCAAATCAAATTGGTAGGACAGTTTCAATACTTAACACATTGCATACATTCTTCCTAGTGGTTAATTGCTGTACAAGATGCGGACATGATAGCCTATTTACAGACACCATTAGAACAAATCGCTCTATTCATTAAGAGAATGTAACTATATATCTATCCTAACCACTTTGAATACACAGGTACAAAATGGACATTCATCTGTATCCCTTTTTCTGTTAAGTTCCATCACTTAAATATTATAGGTGTGTAAACTCAGTAAAATATTCTAAAAGAGTCCAGTAGCCCATAATAGTATTGGGGCTTCCGCTTGACTGGCAATGTCAGAAATTGCTGACCTGAGTCCCCTACAGCTCAACATAACAGCATGGTTTTACTTCTTATACTTCGTTTTTATACTTTTTTGCTGGATGGTTAAGACCAAGGTAAAGCAGGACCTATGCAACAAGAGTTGTAGCTTTTGGATCTGATAAGGTCAGTGAAATCCCCTCAGGATTTATCCTGAGATCCTGTACCTCAGATGGTAGATCCTTTGTCAGTGTCAGCCATGTGGACGAGTCACGGCCATTGCTTGGCCAATGTGTTCTCTGTGAAAGCCTCAGCCAAAGAGCATATTTTGGACAAGAATCTAACACATTGAGCAGAAATGCATGAAGTGGAGGACACTTCTGGTGTAAGGGACAGAGTACACGATGGCTCAGATCATGTGAGGAAGGCTTGCTAAGGGGAAGTGGAGAGTGCTATAAGCCTGAGGGTATGGTGTCCGTGTCCGTGTGTGTGTGTGTGTGTGTGCATGTGTGCATGTGTGTGTGTGTGTAAGCTCAAGTGTGTGCATGGAAGAGGGAAAGAAAAGGCCAGTGAAAGATAAAACCGACCAGCCAAGTCATTGGAGAGCTGCACTCGAGTTATTGAAGATTAGCTACATTGCAGTGAATTAAGAGTTTCACTGCTGTTGAGGATATGAACTTTAGGAGAAAAGCCAAAATAATAAAAGGAGATTTTTAAAAATTGCATCTCTCTGGGGTCTCCCAAAGCTGGGACAGCTTCTTGTGACAATACCTGTGCTTCTTTACATGGAAGCTAAATAGACTCTTGCTCATCGTACAGGGTGACGGGGATGTTTGAGTGGCTCTATTTGCACAAAACATACTGCATAGTTCTTGCCAGGAAATGATCAATAAATAAGAACTATTATTATTCTTTACTAGAAACGTAAGGAGCATATACTCTTTGCCATGCCCTGCCAATAGGCAGTAGAGGTGCATGATGAACAAGAAGGAAGACAGCCTTCCTCTCATAGTGCTTTCCATAGTCTAGTGACCAAAATATTATATTAGGATATGAATAATAACCAAAGAGCCAAGGGGCATCATCACTATAAGAAAATTTAACTATCTTGAGAATAGGCAAAAATGTTCACGTACCTACAATATTTGAATGGCAATAGAGCACCCATCTCTGACAAAACTAAACAAAAAGGGGGATATAAATGACCATTTTGTAATGAAAAAAAATATATCTGTATACACAAATTAGTTAGGATAGATATACAGCTACTTTCTCTTAGTTCAATGAGAAGAAAGATGTGTACTAATAGTGTTTAGACAAGATATCATGTCTACGTCTTGCACGATGAATAACTACCATGAAGACAACAATATGCAATGTATTAATTATTGTAACTGTCCTACTAACCTGTTTTGAAACTGTCTCATTGTTATTTCTTTCTCAATAAAATTAATTTAAAAAAGAGAATAGGCAAAAAATGAATACTGGTGTCCTTTTAGTGCAGTTTTGATTATTTCTAGTGGACTCCTATAGATAACTTAGTTATACAGATAATTTGGTTATGCACCTTTGATTGACATTCTGAGAACAAAGATTACAACTCTGAAGGGGCGGAGGTTAACTGACAGCCATCGTTCTTGTGTGAAAGCAATGTAAATAGTTCCTGTTTGTAGCAATATGAACGAAGTTTGTCTGACAAATGTATAATTTTTATGGTAATAAGCTATGGGATATCCATGAATAAATTGATTTCAGATTTCTTTTAAAAATCTCTGTTCATTCAACTTTCTTTTTCTTTCTTTCTTTTTTTTTTTTTTTAGTTTTTCATTTATGTATTTGGTATGCGGTCTCACTATGCAGCTTGGACTCATAGGGATTCTCCTGTTTCAGCCTCCCCAGTGCTGGGATTACAGGCCTGCACCACCATGCCAGGACTGGTTCACTGGCTCAGTGTGGCATGTGCCACCAGAAACTCTGGTCCCTGTGCTTGCCAAAGCAGGCTCTTAGTCCACTGGTCAAACTTTCTATTTAACCAGTGTTAACATCTTCCTGATTTCCTATTTATGTAATCAGTTGAATGATACCTTTGACATGTTGATGTGTCTTTGATATATTTATGTCTTTTTTTGCAATTTAAAAATTATATTTTACCAGTAACATAGTTATTAAGTGGAAAAGGAGTTCATAATGTTAGAGAATGTCTTCACAAAGCCATTTTCTCCCAAGCCAAGTAGACTATCAAGCCTTTCAGGACACTGCCCAGTTGCCATCAGTGGATCAAGATGTTTTTCTCTGACACTTACTGAGTGACTGTTATGAGCCCGGCACCGTCCTAAGATCTTCCTTTGTGTTCCCTCATCAAATTCTTGTAAAAACTTAAGATGTTGATATCTGAAGTACTACTTCAATAGAAGAGGATGTTGAGGGCCCAACTGACTGCATCTGAATCACTTGTACAGCAGGAAGTGAGCCCGACAAGCCCAGGCGTTGGCGCCGAGGGCCGACCGCCATATTCCACTGCATTAACATAGTTACCATCTTCAAGGCTTGATTTCCATTCTCCTTCCCAACCCTGCCTGCGCTGTCCATCTCTCCCCAACTCAAGAATAATGCTCAGGAAATCCACTCAGTCTTGTCCACCTGGGCCTGATCTTCGGATCCTTCCTGGTGTTCCCTCCACTGTCATCATGTCCTCTTGACTCTGTGTCCTAAACACCACCTGAGTCACGCTATCTGCACAGTCACCTCCAACCTCTAGCCCACCCTCACTGGCTGCCCTCTGCACAAACACTTGTTCACCAATTTCTGTGCTTTCAGGATCTCCTTCTGTAGCCACAGAAACCCTTCTGCAGTACACACCCAGCTCCACAGCTATCTGCTGCCTCTGACTGTATTCTTTGGCATGTGACCAGTCTTGGTGATTCTACTCTTGCCAACCTCTCCTGGCTCAAGCCATACAGCCCTCACCTCCAGTCATCACAGTTCCAGCCAGAGAGGCCTTTTTTTGTCTCAGGAAACATCAGAACTTCAGGCACTATACCACTGCTAAGCTAAGCCTCTGTGAGGTGTGTGTTTGATGGTAGGTTCGTTCAGAGGGCACTCTCTCAGGTAGGCTCTGGGATGATTCCTCCTGCCAGAAACCTCTTCTCTGAATGCATATGTTCACATTTTACATTTTTCCTTGCACTGCAATTTTTGTGCCTGGGCCACATCTTGGGATAGGTGACATGAGAGGAAGAAACAAACACAGGCTTTAGAATCAGACACATCTGAGCTTAAGACTCAGTCTGACTTGAGAAGGTACAGAGTCCACCTTGTGTGCAAAAGGCCCTGGGCTCAATATTTCGCACCATGAACCAACACAAAAGCTCTTATGTTAGTCTCTTTATCTGCAGGACTCATCAGAATTGTTTAGTGAAGATAATGTTATCTATTTTGCAGAATTATTAGGTAGAGAAAGTCAAAGTAATTCCACTATCAAGTCTGACACACAGTCAGTGCTTGGGAAATATTCCTTAAAGGGAGAAGTGAGTAATGAAAAATGACTTTGTGGAATGAGCAGAATAGTTTACTGAAAGACAACGAACTCTTTATTTCATAATTACATCTCTCACTAGACAGATGATGGATTGTGGAGGCCCACCTGAGCAGCTGTTCTTGAGAGAAGAGCGAGGGTCTCCATTTTGACTGAGTCTGACACTACTTCCTCATATTGACATATACAATATCAATACAAAGAGCTGGCTAGGACTTCTCTTTATCCTTTCAATTGGCCTTAAGCAATGTATATTGTCTAGCTGAGGTGCTTGTGGCTGTCTTTGAAGGTGGCATGTGTGTTTCCCTGGTAACCTACGGCCTGCGGCTCCTTAATGTGAGCTGGGTAGAGAGACAGGACAAAGAGCTGATGCTCCACACTGCCAGCTGGGATCGAGCCTTGAGATAGAACCTATGACTTCCTGGGGCTTGACAGATTACATCAGAACTGAAGCACCAGGCCCCTGAAACTTTAGATATTATCTTATTAAAATGCAGGTTACTTGCTCTGCATATCCTTTCTGCATATGACAGAGGCAAACGTAGGCCACCTATCTAGCTCAGCTCACAGTACTCACCTATTTCTCATACTTCTTAGCCATTCTTCCTCAAGCCACTCCTCCACTAAATAAAACCCAGGGCCAGCCTCTTTGTTCCAGATAGCCATCTTCGTGGCTGGACTTGGGGGCCCCTTGACTCCCCAGTAATTATAAATATGTTTTAGTGTCTCTATTTTTGCCATGGGTTACACAGGAAGTGGTAGATTGGAATTAGCTTGGTGGGATTCCAATAACGTATCTTTGGGATTACAAATATTGACTTTTTGGATGGAGACAAGAATCTGGTGGGGTCTCCTACAATGGATGAATGAAAACAGATGGATATGGATGGAGATTAGATATATAGATAAATAGATAGAGATAAGATATATTTATGAGATGGATAATAGATTATGGATGAATGGAAAAGTAGATGCACAAATACATGGAGAAAAGTGAACATGAATGTATAGGTAGATTATGCATATGTAAACATAGATACAAATACAGATATATAGATACATTCAGATTGTTTTCTAGAACTCAGTCAGACACCAGCCCCTGTGAGCATCATCATTGCTCTTGCTTAGAACTGCTGGGGAAAGAACTGTGGCTTCCTTTGGCAGCATAATCACACCTTTGTGTCTGAAAGGTCCATTCACTATTCATGATCTTCTCTGAAGTCCGGGAGACCTGAAGTGATAAGAACAGGCAGACTGCGTGGACTCCAGCAATTCAATAATGTCTGCTGACATGGCGGAACAGTCTGGACCATTCAGGAAACTGGTGTACAAAGGCATCCAGCAGGG